GACGTGGCCGCTGTGGGCAGGACAGCGTCACTGTCAGTGTTGGTCCCAACCCTTCCTCCTCACAGTCAAGACCACCATGAAGAGTGGGGCCACCAGGAGTGAGGGCCCTGGTGCTTCTGGAGCCAGCCAGTCTGGAATCAGGACTCAGTTGGGAGTGCATCTTCTGCTCTGAAGCCCTTCCTGCCTGAATGGTCCATGGCCCCAGCAGGTAGGCAGCAGGAGCTCCCCAGCATGGTTCAGAACATGGCAGGGAGAGCCCTGGCCTCCCACATGGCTGCTGAATGGGCTTTGGGGCGTGTGCAGGTACTGACCTGGGTGTCGGGGTACATCGCGGGCCACCTGGTAGTAACGGTAGAACTGTTCCCTCCATAGGAACTCATCCCGGGACACAGCCTGCCACTGTCGGCACACCAGCCCAGCAGCCAGCACGTCCGCAGGGCCCAGGCTCAGGAAGATCTGGTAGACGAGGCTGTCAGGGAGCAGGGGCGTGCCCCCCTCGTCCATCGTGACATTCTGCCCAGGCAGCCCTGAAATCCACCAGAGGCTGCCCTGAACCCAAACCTCTACCCCAACCTCTAGGAGAGGTGCAGACCTGGAGCTCAAGCTGTGGCAGCCCCACTGTTCCTCCAGCCCCACCAAGTGCCACACTGGGAATTCCACTGGACTGGGTGTTTGTGGAGGGTACTGCTGCACTGACCACTGCAGCTCCATGACAAGCCTGCACAGTCATTTCTCCCCAACCCCTGCAGCTAGCTCCTAGGGCTTGCTAGAGCACTGGAGCAGGCACAGGCACCTCAGCACTGCTGGGCCTGGGGCAGCCTGAGGTGGAGCGCGGGTGAGCCGCTGGAACCCAGATCTGTCTACTGTGATCTTGGCCCAGGTCACATCCTGCAGATGGGGCCCTTTGACCGCCCCCCCCAACCCGGGGCCAGGGAAACAGCTGGGTGCCAGGGCAGGTAAGCAGGTCTGGGCTGCCTATATTGGTCGGTCCGAGTTTAAGCCGTCAAGGGCCAGTGACCCCCCTGAGCTGACCTTGCTGCCCCAAGGTGTAAGACTGTCAGCTCAAGACAGACTTCCTTCTCAGAAGGGGCCCGGCAGGCCCTTGGCCTCTGCCCTAAGGGCCTGGCCAGGTGGGGGGCGTGAGGGCAGGGGGTCAGGGTGTGAAGGGGCAGGCGACGGGGTCCGGGCAGGGCCGCGGGGCGGGACAGGGCACAGGCAGCCGGCAGCACATTCATTCGCCCAGCCGGCGCAGGCGGGGTACTCCGCTGGGGACAAGGCTGGTACCGGGGGACAAGACCAGGCCAGGCGTGGACAAGGCCAGGGGCGCCGGCGAGTGCGGCAGAGCCGAGGCGGGACTCACCGCGGCGCCTCCGCCCGCTGCGCTGCGCGGAGCCGCTTCCGTCGCCGCCGCCCCCGCGTCTCTACGGAAGAGGCCGCCAGGCCAGATGCTCTGAGCCCCGAGGCATCGATGGCCGCGGAGGGCCGACCGCCCAGCAGCCCGCGTCGGCCTCTCGCGCGCCTGCGCGTCTGTGCGCCTGCGCGCTCCCGTGCTCTTCCGGAACAGCGCCCCTGGGGGAGCGGCGGCCGGCGATGCACCCGGGGGCGGGGCTCTAGGTCCGCGGGTTCGAGACTGCCCTGGCCTTGAGCTCCAGGAGCCCAGAGTTGTTGACTGTGAGGATGAAACCGGAGTTTGGTAGTTTAAAGGTGATAGATGTCCAAGGTGCTGAGCACTGACTCGGTGGAAATCAAGGTTGTAGAAATAGATGGGCAAGGAGTCTAAGGCCAACCGGGGCCGTGTATCCAGGACCTGGGGCCTGGTTTCTGTTGAGACCAGGCTCCTGAGGAGGCTGGGAGGACCACTGCCCAGGGTGGGGGGTTGGGGAGGTAGGGGACAGCCATGGACTTCCTGGGCTGGGCTTCCTGTGGGGCTGGACAGTGGACTCTGACCTGGGACATTGCTGCCCTTGGCCTCCTCATCGCTGCCACTATCACCATGCTGCCCCTTGAGACCCCACTGCTCTTGACCCTGCTGCTGGTGGCCAACTCACTGGCCCAGAGGGTTCGACCCCCTCGGCCCCCAACCCTCATCAGCAGCATCCAGCCCAAGGCCAGATTCAATGCTCAGCAGGTGAGAAGCTGGGGGACAGGGGGAGGAAAGAGAGAGGTGGGGGCAGGTAATAGAGGTAGATGGGGGCCAGGAGCTTGCCCAGCTTTACAAGGGTGGGTCCAGACCACCCTCTCCCCTCAGTGTCCTGGAGTCCCTCTGGTGCCTAACCCCAGTTTTCAGGAACATGGCTCCTCGTGGGTGTGGGCTCTGCCTGCCGCTTCCTACAGGAGCAGGGTCACCAGGCTGAGGCCACCAGATTGCATGTGACTCCCCAGGGTGCAGCCATGGTCATCAACACCTCCCGCAAGCTGTGAGTCCTGGCATGGTCCACCACCCTTGCCCTAGCCCCCTGGCCCCAGCCCTGCAGTCGCCTGTACTGATATCCCACATGGTCCCACCTGGGTCGGGTCCCCGGTGCCTGGCACCTCCTCCCACTCCCCCCACCCCCAGGGATGGGATCTGCTGGCAGGTGCGACAGCTCTACAGAGACACAGAGGTCCCTGGCCGCTTCCTGCTCCAAGGTGAGGGCAGCAGGTGAGGGGGTAGGGCTGAAGAGCTGGGTAGGGACTGATACCTGCCGTGGCTCTGCCTCAGCTCAAGGAGCCCGGGCCCCTGTGCACATGGTGGTTGCTGCGACTGACTACCAGGGCTTCGCCATCCTGTACCTGGAGCGGGCGAAGCAGCTGTCTGTGAAGCTATATGGTGTGTGATGGCCTGTGTCCACTTGGGATCCCAGGCTCTGCACATGCAAGGGACCATCACAGACCCTCCCCTTTCCCACCCCATCCTGACCTTCTGTGCTGGTGCAAGGGAGGAGCTGCTGGATGGGCCTGCTGTGGGGTTAGGGTGGGAGTGGGCACAGACAGCTAGTCCTGGACACACAGACTCTGTTCCCGGAGCACCCCACACCCTCCTGCATCAGTGGCCCTGTCTATCCCACAGCCCGATCGCTGCCTGTGAGTGACTCTGTCCTGAGTGTGTTCGAGCAGCAGGTCAAAAGTGCCAACCTGACTGAAGACCAGATCTTATACTTCCCCAAGTATGGTGAGTGTCCCCAGCAGGTCCCCCTCCTGGCCAACATCCTGCCCTCCCTGACCACTGCCTGGGCCCCCAGGTTTCTGCAAGGCTGCTGACCAGTTCCACATCCTGGATGGTGAGTGGGCAGCAGGGCAGCTGGCCAGTGGCCACAGTGCAGGTTCCTTCCTGCCCCTTGCTGAGTCTCCTGTCTGCTGCAGAAGTGAGGGGGCGAGGCCTGCGGGAGCCGTGATGGGTCACCTGCTGCCCTCCTCGGTGAGCACCAGAGCAGCGCTGGTCAAGGTCAGGGCCCTGTGGTTCTGGAGGAGTCTCCCCTGTCTGCTCTCAGAAGCCACCTCCCCCTGGGAGCTCATTAAACATCACAGTGGACCCCTGGCTCCTTTCAGTCCCCACTCGCACCAGAGGAGGAGGAGGCTTGTTCCCCCATCATTTGAGGACCCCCTCCCCAGCAAGGTGGGGCTGGGGAGCTTCCTAGAACCCCTGGGCCCCGACTCCCCCTCAGTGTGGCCCTGCAGCAGCTGTCTTCCCCTGCCCTGTGCTGGCCTCTGGGCCGCCCTCTCCAACAGCCTGTTGGGCCCCAGGGCCCTGCCCAGGGTGGACTTCCCTAAGGAGGGGCTCCTGTCAGGACCCCCTACTGGAAGCTGAAGAGCCAGAAGCCCAGGGGCCCTGTAGCCTGAGGTAGGATGGCATATCAGAGATGGGCAGCAAGGTCGCTTCACCATCCCTGGACACGGTGCCTGGCTGGGCTGAGGCGTCACTGCCCTGCACACTGTGAGCCAGGGGCTTCCGAGAGCAGGATTGGCCACCTGGGTGCCCTGACACTGGGGGGGGGGGCACCCAGGTGACAAAGGTGGGAGTCTCTGGGGAGAAAGCCAGCTGTTGCTTGGGCCAGATAAGGTGAGCATGGGGACTCTGGACAGCGGGAGGACCCCCTGGCAAACCCAGAGTCCCCCAAGGTCACAGACAGGGAAGTGGGGGTGGGGCAGGACCTTGCGCTGGGCCCCTGCTCTCTATGCCCTCCCTTCCAACAACCTCCTTCCTCAGGCTGTGAGAAGACCCAGGGTGCCCAGTGAGCTTTGGGCCACAGAGGAATGGCTGTCTGGTGTTTGGACCTTTTCTGCTGGCACAGCCACTCTCAGAGAGAACAGAGGGACTCAGGTTGGGGTGGGTGGCTACCAGGAAGAGCCAGCAGCTGCCCAGTGGGCTCTGTGTCCTGTGGGCAGTCCCCCTGCCATTCTCCCCAGGGTCTCTGTGCAGCTGGACTCAGGAGAGCAGGGAAGTAGGGCCAGAGGGAGAGGGGAGGCAGGGACCAGGGGACAGGCCCCACCCAGGAGACTGCCCTCCAGTTCCATGTCCCAGAGACCCCAAAATAGGGACCCCAAGAGCAACCACATCACATAGGACCCCGAGAGACCCTAAGGTCTCTCAGCCTCAGAGAGCCTTGTCCCCCATCGCCTTGTCTCCAGACTCTGCGTGCTCTTCTCTCTGTTCTGAGGGGGGCGCCAGAGACCCTTCCAAAAGACCGAGTGGTCTGACCCTACGACTCTGCCCTGGGGGTCTGCACCGCATTGTGGGTCTGACCTGGGAAGAGAAGATGCAGCACATTAGAATTGACGCGCGTTTCGTTTTCAAAATTCATGGTTTCATAAAATGAACAAACGTTCTGTTAAACAGCGATAGCTCCTTGTGCATCTTTTTTGTTTAGAGCTCTTATAGTTTGTATTTTGCCTTTGAATTCTGATAGGTGGTTTGCAACGTCTTAAGAGAATAATTGTTTTAAGAATCTGTGGAAACTAATGCTTCCCTGGTCACCTTTTCTGAGACCTGTGTCGGGGAGGGGGAGTGGGAGGGCCTCGGGAACGGGGGCAAGGGCTGCCCTGGGTCCTGTCTGGGTGAGGGACTGTCTCGGGGTCTCCAGTGCCCTGTCCACCACAGGGCCCTGCTTGGGTGTGTGTATGGAAGAACCAGCTGTCCCTGTACTTGGGACATGCTGTTGACTGCTGCTCCCCACATCTCCCCAGAGTGCCCTGTGACTAAGACAGCTGGGAAGGGGCAGTGTCTGGCCAGGGTGAGAGTGGGCCCAGGGGCTGCTGATCAGGCTCCCAAAGGCCCCAGGGGATGTGAGTAGAAAGGTGCTTCTGGAACCTCAGGGAACAGAGGAGTCTTGTGCTCGGTTCATACCATTCTCTTCCTGGGTGACTAAGGCCAGGAGTCATGGGGACCAGTCAGCACAGCAGGCTGCCCCCTTGCCAGGCGAGGGCAAGTCTGGCCCTGAGGCCCTCAGCCTTGTGGTGGGGTTCCTGCCCAGCACAGGTTGCCAGGCCAGGGACTTCCTGGGATGAGCCCAAGTCCCCCATGAGCAGGGCTGGGAGAGGGAGGAGATGGCCAGGGACCCTGGCAGGAGAGAGGAGGAGATGGCCAGGACAGGGAGCTCGCAGAGGAGGTGCCCTGTCAGCCAGGGGCCTGGTCACAGCCTCCTGACCTCCTCAGCTGCCAGTGGGTGGGAGGAGGAGTGTCCATAGAGGGGCATTGACTTCTCAGGCCTGACTTCCAAAGGGCCAGGGCAGCTGGAAGCCCATGTCTGTCTGGGTCCTCCTTGCTAGACCTTTTTTGGGCAGGCTACTTCCATTAGGGGGACAGCCCCTGCTCTCAGCTTGGGTGGAGGTCCCTTTGGAAGTCTCTGCCGCTCTCACCTGGGAGCCCTGGTGCGCCCAGGCCGCCTCCTCTCCCCCCTGGCTGGCTCCGCCCATGCCCTCCTGGCCGCAGGGCCAGCTGGTGTGCCTCCCACACTCAGGTCAGGGGTCATGTGGAGTCCTGGGGGCTGGGGACAGCTCTGTGGGGCAGATATCCCATCAGGACTGCTCTAGTCATGCTCTCTGCCTGGGACAGGATGTTCTGTGTTGGGAAGGGTCGTCAGGGCAGGGCTGGGCAGGGCCCCCACCTTTGTGGGACACTTGAAAGGGGGCGCAGGCACAGAGGGATCCAAAGACAAGGCCCAGGCCAGGCCCAACAGGCCTTCCCAGTCCCTCCTGCCCTGGGACTCAGGGAACCACGGCGGGGGAGGTCTGAGGAGAGACCGTCCTGCCTGCCCTGCCTCCCCAAGACTTCCCTCCACATCTCTTCCGCCACACCCCCTTGGGAGGGGCACCCGCCAGGTGAGCCCTAAAGAGGTCCCTCTGGGGCTAGTGGCTACCAGGATGGGCCCTGGGTGTGTCTTGTTGCTGTCACTCACCCTGCCAACAGTCCTGCAGGGCCAGGACCCAGCCACCCCACCACAGGTGGCAAACTTCCAAAGTAAACAGGTACAGGGTTGGCGGGGCAGTGGGCTGGGGCCCAAGTTCAGGTTCAGGGAGGAGGATGGCGGGCACTGCCCCGGAGTCCAGGCAGGCAGGCCCTTCTCTCAGGCTCCCCTGGCCTCCAACAGAGCAGGACACTGACATTCCCTCCTGTGGCTCCCACAGGTCGTAGACTCTGCACATGTGGGGAAACTGAGGCTCTGGAAGGCCACTGGCAATTGGCCAGGCCACCCAGTCCCTGCCAGACGCAGGACAGGCTGTGACTGCTGCCAGAGTCGCGGTGCAGGCCCAGCCCTGGGGCGGCTGTCTGGCAGGGATCCTGGTTCAGGGCTGTCCAGGGTATGGCAAGGTGGGGTACGGACTGCTGGCCCTCCTGTCACCCGTCCTGCAGTTCCAGGGGCAGTGGTTTGTCCTTGGTCTGGCGAGTAACACCTACAGGAGAGAAGACCGGGCTTTGCTGAATACCTTCTCCACGACATTTGGGCTCAACCAAAAGGGCCACTTTGAGGTCTCCAACACCATGACCCGGTGAGTGGGCTCTCTTGTCTGAGAAGCCGAGGATCTGGGTCCTCTCCCAGGAGCCACCATGGCCTCCGTCACACTGTGGGCTGCAGCGTCACGTCCTGAGGCCTGTGTCCAGTGCACAGGCTGCTCAGTGAGCTCAAGGCTGATAGACCTGGGGTCAGTTCTGCTTGCCTCAGCCCAACCTCTGTCCAATCCAGTTGTCATCTCACAGTGTTAGGAGAGAGGTGGGCAGCCCCAGATGGTCTGCCGGGGACAGCCTTCAAGTGGCCCTGCTGGAGTAAGTGTCCCCCAGCTGCTACACCCAGGGCCGCAGGTGCTCTCGTTGGCCCACCTGGATGAAGAGCCCACCACCTGGCTGGAGAAGCATCTGGCCTTGGGGGACAGCCTATGGGAACCTCTGGGGGAGGGGCGCCCTTTGGGGATGCCAGGGACAGCATCCTAACTCTGCTACCCCCCGCAGCCTGGCCGCCTCATTGAGCACCTGGCTGGCTTGCTGCGGGGGAAGAGGGCCAGATGACTGCTCTGGTGAGGACTCTTAGAGTCCACCTAGTATCTGATCATGAAGCCAGGGGACATTGCCACACAGACCAGGGGGAGGGAGGCAGAGGCATTCCAGCCTCTGGGGACTTGGACTGAAGCCAGGGGACGCTGCCACACAGACTAGGGACCCAGGCTGATGGCAGGCAGCACCTGGGTGTGTGCCCCCAGATCCTCCCCCAGCCTCACGTCACACTGGCCCAGCCTGTGGCAGGTGGGCACAGAGCCCTGAGGCTGGAAGTCACCCGCGTGGGTGTGGCTGCACTCAGAACCCCTCCCAGGCCTCAGGTTCCTGGAGACCTCACTGGCCTGGGTCAGGTCAGGCCTGATTGGGGGAGCTAGGGGTCCATTCTCGCCTCCGTGTCACTGCACCGCAGGCCGACTGCCCCTGGGGCTCTCTGAATCAGCAAACTTCCTTAGAAGCCCTGCGGCTCTGGGCGCTTTCCTGAGGCCCAAGAGAGTGGCACGTGGGGTTGCTGGCCTCAGCCAGGGACAGCTTGCCCTTGGCCCTCCGGACCCCTCACCCCCACGCCATCTGGCCCAGGGCTTGCAGGATGGAGTCCAGCCACGCTGCCCCAGAGCAGGGCTGACCCAGAAAAGGCCATTCTCCCACTGCACATCCTGTGGACTGGGGGCTCCGTGCCAAGCTGACGGGTAGCCGCCTGCATGTGGACGGGTGGGCTGCAGAGGGGGGACTGAGGGGTCCAGGGCTGAGACAGTTTCCAGCTGTGGGACAGTTTCCAGCCTTCTGTGTCTCCCCGGGGGCCTCTGGGCTGGGCCTGGCCGGCCTCCCAGCCTTCTCTGCCCTGCCTGCCTGCCCGCAGGGGCAAGCGCTGCAACACTTGGTCTTACGTGCTGATCCCAGCAGCCCAGCCTGGGCACTTCACCGTGGACACCAAGGGCGAGGCTGACCCAGGCGAGAGGGCGGGGACTGGCACGTTCAGTGAAGACGTCCAGGTGGTCGATGGCGACTACACGGTCTTTGCCCTTCTGCTGTCCATCAGACGGATGGGCAGCCAGACCACAATCAGGATCAGTCTGCTGGGTGAGCCCCCTCCTCGCTCTGAGCCCTGCGGTGACCCTGGTGGGGGCTGGAACTGACCGGGTGACTTGGGGACAATTGATTCTCCCACCCACCCATCTGAGTGGCTGAGAGCTCTCCTACTGGTCAGCACAGGCAGACACTGGAATCTGCCCCGCTGGACACTGGACAGATTCACCTGCCTGGTCAAAGCTCAGGGTCTCACCAAGGACAACATCGTCTTCCCAACTGCCATCGGTAACGCGTTCACAGGCAGTGGACAGTGGGAAATGGAGAGCAGGCAGGCTGGGCGGGGCCTTCCAGAGGATCCCAGGCTGATGTCCCCAGCCCCTCCGCCAGAGCAGGCTGGTTCCTTCTCCCTCCCCCTGGTCCCCTTTCCGCCCCCTCCCAGTCACCTGCCCGTTTCCCCTCACGTCCCTCCCAGGCCCACCCCTCTCCTCTCCCTCATGGCCTGTCCCACTGTCCCTCACCCCGCCAGATGAGCTGCCCGACCCTGCCTGCTGAAGCTGCTGAAGGGCCTGCCTCACCCGCCCTGCCCTCCCCCACTGTCAGCACAAATAAAGGCACTGTGCCCAGGACCCCAGAGTGGCTGCTGTGACCTTGGGGTCAGTGAGAGGCAAGGACAAAGGGACCTATGGCAGGGCAGGTCCGTGATGGCCACCCCAGGACAGGCCAGCCTCCCTCACTACTCCCAAGTGTGCACTCCACCAGCGGAGCTCTGGGCGGCCAAGAGGGGGCCCAGCAGGGCCAGGCTGTCCCTAGGCCTCTGCCCTTGTCAGCCTGGCAGGCAGGGCCCCAGGACAGGAGCAGGCCTCTGCGGATGCCTGGGGCTGGGAGATGGAGGTGGAGTGGGGATAAGCAGTCTAGGCCTGGCCCCCACTGGCCGTAGGGAGGCTGGCTGGTGGTGGGTGAGGGGTGTGGGTAGAGGGATGATGGGGGGTGAGGAGGGTTTTGTGCTCTTTTGGTCTGGCGCTCTGGGTCAGAAGGCTCGGGTTCAAGGCCATGAGTCCGTCTGGTCTGAAGTGCTGGGTCACATGTGGGCCTGTGAGGACAGAGACCACCCTGGTCCTGGCTCTGCACTGCAGCTGCTAATGGGGACCTGGGCCTCGGGGTCAGACATCTGCAGCCATCTTCCTGGAGTTGACTCTGGGAAGGCTGCGGCAGAAGGGCCGTGGTTGGGTGGCCCTTCCTAAAGGTGCCCAGGAAAGGTCTCTCCCCCATGGGTGGGCTGGCTACCAGGTGCCACCCCGACCTGAGCGGGACCTGAACTTAAGGTCACTATGTGAACTTGCACGGACACCAAATAAAACACAGACGCACACTTGTACTTTAACAGGCTTCAGGGCGGCTTCTCCGCTCTCGGCCTCAGGCTCCCCAGAGGGAGAGCGAGGGAAAGTCACTAGAGCCTGGTGGGAGCAAGTGTGTTCGCAGGGGGGCTGTTATGGGGGGACTCTTGTTCTTTAGAAAGCCCTATCCACAAAAGGCCAGAAGGGCAGGGTTACCGGGGACAGGTGGCTGTAACTCAGCCCTGGAGGCACATCCCACAAAGAAGACCCCTTACTATCCGAGCAAATGCAGTGGTCGGTCAGAATCTGAGGCATCAGGACTGGAAGGTGTGGTCATTCATGTGGCTTCCCACAACCGGGTAGTGGATGCAGGCCCCGGATCGCTGGCTTCACTCTCTCCTGCCTTGCCCCCTGCCCCCTCCTGCTGGCCCACTGTGCTCCCCCAGAGCAGGGCTCCCCTGCACAGCCAGGTCCTGAGCCCCACAACCTGGCCTCCTTTGTCCCAGGCGCTGAGGAGAACGGCCTGGATGGACCCTCCAGCCCTTCCCCTGTCCCTGGGAGGGTCAGGGGACAACCGAAGCCCCCTTAATTCCCTTGACACCCAGGCTTTAGGACTAAGAACATGGTGGCTTCCTGGGCTCCGGCACCAGGCTGAAACCCAACCCGGGTGCTGAGGTGGCTCCGTGACAGAGACTTGCCCTGCGTGTGCCAGGCCTGGCTCCGTCCCCACAGGAAGAAAGCACACCCAGCAAGGATGGAGGCTCTGGGCGACCGGCTGGGCAGGGGCGCCTGGCCTGCTCTCGGCCCCCTGTGCCTCCCCTCTCAGGCTCCACTGTTTCTCCACGGCTGTTGGAGATGACCTTCTCCACTCCAGCTTTGGAGACAGAACATTCAGAGGGCCTGGAGTTGAGGGGTCAACAACACCAAGTGAGGGTTCTGGAGGCGCGTGGCCCCACAGGTCCTGGTTCCGAGAAAGAAGCAAGAGCCCCTCACATGTGTGAGGATGGCGGGTTTCCTTAAGTGAATTAGTAGACGTCCACTGTGTCCACGAGTCTGTGAGGGGGTGAGAGCGGCGTCCAGCACGGGGTCAGTTCCTGGCTCTGGTTCCAGATCCCATTGCTGACCTTCCTTACCCGGCACCCTGGCCCCTTCGCAGTGGAGAGATTGGGAGGAAGAGCTCACCTTCCTGCCTTGGGCTCCTGCCTGCTCGTGGTCCAGCAGGGACAGCTGGCACAAGGCAGCATCGAGGGCAGGCCTCCAGCCCCTGGCTCAGCTGGCACCCAGGACGGCTGCCCCGAAGCTCGTCCACGCTGGAGCAGGTGGGCCCAGCCTCTTGGCCTCCCGACTTTCCGTCGGGTCATGTTTCAGCTTAACAGAGTTGGGGGCCCCGGGACACCGCCCTCGCCATCCCACAGGGAGCTGGGCGCAGTGTCACAGCGCCACATCCAGGCTTTGTCATGACGGCTCCTCCTCTCTCCTAACACGGCTCCTCACCCTCTCCACCTCTCCCTCCTTCCCTCTGCCCCTCCTCCCTCCTCCCTTCTCACTGTCCACAGCCTCATTGTTCTGGGCAGTGAGATAGGTCATCAAGACACCAAAGACCCCACGGAGACAGAGACGGGGTGTGGGATGCTCATGAGGACGACCTGAGGTCATGGTTCTCATGCTACCTCCAGCGCTTCCCCAGAAAGCACACCTCTGTCCCTCTGGGGCCCTGTCCAGTGGTGACCAGCTCCCGAGGAGCCTGGCCTGTGTGCAGGGAGTTACTCTGTGACAGCACACGTCCTTTGGGACAAGTCACATCTGGACCTTGCAGCCCAAACCCATGCTCCCGTCCTTGAACCCGCTAGTGCTCAGGCATGGAGAGGGACATGGTGTTCCTCCTTTCCTTCAGGATGGCACGTTCTACTCACGGTGCCTGCAAGGCCCCACAATCTTACCATGCCATCTTTTGTAATGTCCCCTGGTGGCACATCAGGGGACACTTTGTAACCAGAGCCCACAACCACAGTGCAAAGGACATGGAGCTACTGTGGCCTGCTGGAGAGCAGCCTGGACACAGTGCTCCTCCTTCCACGTCTCCATGTCCACACGGCAGGAGCAACTGAAGCTGAGGCAATAGGGCCAACTTTGTCTGTAGTGATATGTGGGCGTGTAGCTTATTCAGGGCCAAAGACACATCGTCATAATCACTGTAACACACAGCCTTCTGGGTGTGCCGCAGTCTGGCTGCAGCAAAATAACCAGGGGGAGTGACAAGAAACTTGTGAGGATTGATACAGCGGGAGCCGCTTTATTGCTGGACGGCAGAGGTATGTATACTTAACTATCTTAATTATCTTAATTAACATAAACTAGGTACAGCAGTCAGCCAATAAGGAATTCTCATCATCTTAATGATTACACACAGCTTAACTTAATTGACATAATCTAGACACAGCAGTCAGTCATTAAGGAATCTCTATCATCTTAATGGCTCGATGGCATTACTTCACAAACCACTCCCTCTGGCAAAGTGCCAGGCGCCATCTTGACTTGTTTACGGACCCTAATATCTCCCCCTTTTGTTTAATTTAAAGAACAAGTATGTGGCTTAGGGACCGTGCCTGTTTTAGGTTGTCCAAAACTACATATGGTCCTTACCCGTCATTGGATGGTCTGACCTCAAATCATCAGCCTCCTGTCTTAGGTTGGTACCATTGTAATTGGATCTTACCCGTCTTTGACTACTGGCCCAACACATTCAGCCACACTTGTGGATAACGACCATAGTGGTTTTTACACAAACACCATAAATAATCTGGTACAAGCAGTGGGCCTGGTTTCAGCCTGGTGCCAGAGCCCAGGAAGCCCGAGGGACTCAAGGGGGACCGACATTCATGGGCCTTCCATCCTGGAGAGTCTCAGTCTCCAGGACCTTCACCAGTGGGCCTGGAGGTACTGGGAGGCACCATGGGGCACCCAGGACCCCTGGCTCCATGCATGGCCACCTCGTGCACTGTGGCAGGACCCACCTTGGCCATTGGCACGGGTCTCTCCAGTCAGTGTAGAGGCACTTTTTGATGCTGATAGGTTTGGTGGCATGGAGGCCCCAGACCACCAGGAAGAGCTGAAAGCTGGACAGGAAGCAAAGCCCTGTGGGCAGCTGCATGCCTGCAGAGAGCCACCCTGGCTGGCTCTGGGTCCTGGACTCTGGCTGTGGTGGACAGCACCCTGCTCACACCCACATTCTCAGATCAGAGCCTGTCCACCCACTGTCGTTGTGTTCAGGAAGCCACCCTGCCACCTTCGGCTGCTTGGGTGGGGTTGGGGGCCCCACTGCAGGGCCCTGGTGGACCTGGCTGTGCAGAGTCGGGAGACCCGTGTAAGGCTGTGCACAGAGCTGGGCTGCGAGCAAGGACCCTGTGGGCACGGGCGGTGGTCCTCGGTCCCTGTGCTGCCTGCTGGCCCCACGTGGACCTTCACTCTTGCTGGTGGCACTACAGAGAGGACAGAGGCCTTCAGAGAGGTGGGAGGAGGCCAGACTTGTGAGAGGGTGCCAGGGGAAGACCTGGCCCCTCCCGGCCCCCCTTAGATCTGCAGGGTCAGGGGCTTCCAGGGCTTGTCCAGGAACTTTGGCCCAGAGATGTGGACAGGGCTGGGGCCTGGACACACTACTCCTCAGGTGGGAAGCTCTGGCTGGCCCCTGCTTCTGGACCCTGGGTGGTGCCTGCCCAGCTCTCCTGTGGCCAGCGCCCCCGCCCTCAGGCCCTGGAGTCTTTACCTTGGCTTGAGAGCGCGGCTCTCCAGGCACCACCTGGGCCTGCTGGCCCTGGACCGGCTCCTGCAGCTTCCAGAGCTGAGCCTGCAGTTTGCTGGAGGAGGAAGTGGGCAGCTGGGTCAGAAGGTTTGGGCCTAGTGGGGGCCAGCATGGTCAGCCCACGGTCAGCCCTGTGGCGGTGGAGCTGCACCGAGTTCCTGCTCTGGTCTCCGACTCTTGACACCCTCCCTCCTGGGTCCTGAGGCCCACCCAACTGCCCCCTCTTCCCTGGGGAGACCCCATCTTTTCCCACCCTAGGGTGCTCCAGGGGTCATCCACAGGGTCAGGATTGCTTGTCCACTGGCAGCCCCGCTCCTGATGCAGGCGTGACATGGGGGTATCCTTCTGTCCCTCCTCGCCCTTGGGGAAAGGTGGGATACATAGCCTCCCTCTTTTCAGGGCTCTGTGTTGGAGACCCCTCACTGGGAAGGGGGTGACTTTGGGGGATCTTTGGAAAGGGCAGCCCAGGCCCAGTGGTCTTAGAGAGGGGCAGAGGCTGGTGCAGGTTGGCACCTCTGGGGACAGGGCTGACGTCCTCATCTGAGCTTAGACTGGGAAGGAGACCCTCAGCCTGGACCCCTGCAGACCCCCTGAGCAGGCAGGGCCTTCCTGACTTGTCAGGACCCACCACATGGCTAGTCCCCGCCTACACAAGGCTTGGAGGACGGGGAGGGCCCCAGTGGTCAGCACGTTGGGGTATCCAGATCCTGCCCTGGGGCAGCTCAGGAGTGAGGAAGGGGGTGCCTGGTGAGCGAAACCCAGAGCCAGAGGCAGACCAGGGCAATCCTGGCCACCAAACCAAAGTCCAAGCCGGGGCTTGGGGACCCTTCCAGCCTACTGCCACAGGCAGGGGCCTCAGGCCTCCCACAAGCTGCAGATGCTGAGGTCCCTCACCACAATGCACAGTGGCCGGAGCCACCTGTGGCTAAGGGCAGGTCTCAGCAACACCAGATAAGGGGTGGGGCAGGCACCCTGGGACCCCCTTGGTGTCCTCTTGGCATATGAGATGGGAGTGGGCCTCACTGGAGCTCACAGGGTCTGTGGGCTCGGCCACCTTGAGAGGAAGCTGTGGTCCCCAAGCCGTCTGGAGGAGGCTGGCAGGTGCAGGCACAGGCATGCAGAGGCACACACTGCAGGCTGCCTCTGCCCAGCTGCTGTCCCTCCTGGGGACGGGTGGCTGCGCCAGCCAGGATGCAGTCTGCGTCTTGGCTCTGTGTGGACCAACAGGGGTCGGGTTTCTCCATCGGGCCTCCTGTGATTGGCGCGTCCCCAGCCGCATCCCCATGAGGGCTCTGCCCTGGGCTGGGGCTCAGGGTGCTAGGAATCATCAGGCTGGGATCTAGGGAGGGTTGGAGAGTTTGCCAGGAGACATTGAGGGATTCCCTGGTCCTGTGAGGGCACTGCACAGTGGCAGGAGGGGCAGTGTGGGGAAGGCCGGGGTGGCAGCAGACATCCCCTGAGGGGCCAGGAGGCCTGGCTCTAGGCTCAGGGCAAGCAGGGCCCCTTCTGTGGGGTCTGTGTGTTGTGAGGCGAGAGAAGCCCTGCTAGACAATGGCACTGCCCCTGTGGGGTGGCCCTGAGGCCTTGGGACTTGAGAGCCCCCTACCCCGCCAGCCAGGCCAGGAGGCCTCAGACCTCAGACTGCCCATCGTGCCCCCACACCCTCTCCGCCTCCGTTCCTGGGCCCTCCAAGCCTCCCTTCCCAGAAGGCCTCCAGGCCCCGGGGTCCACTGTGAGAGCAGCCCCACCACTCTGTCCCAGCTCTAAGCTGGATGCTGAGTCCGTGGCCCAGTCCTGTCCTGGCTACCCGCATGCCTGTGACCACCCTCTTTCTCTCGAGGGCCGCGGGGCCTGGGCTGAGCTGCAGCCTGGCAGCAGTGGACCAGGGACCCCACAGGTCCCCCAGGTGCTCCTGCTTCCCTATGGTGGCCACAGGAGAAGAGCCCGCCTGGGGAGTTTGGGGAGCAGCTTGGCGGTGCCTCAGCTCAACCCCACCCATGGCCACCACCGCCCTCCATGTCCCCATGAGGACCGGAGCACATACCCAGAGATGTATGCCTGGATTTTCCAGCAGCTTTATTAGTGACAGCCCAACCTGGGCCCCATGTCCATTAACAGGAGAAGGAGGACCAACCGCGGAGCATCCTCGCACTTGGACACAGCAACAGGAAGCTGAGTGACCACCCTTTCCAGTGCCAGGTGACCCGAGGATCCATGGCTGCTAGTGCAGGAAGTTGTCCAGTGTCTGAGGTGTGACACCCCTCAGGAAACCCGGAAGTGCCAGCTACCTACAGGACCAAGCAGAGCCTCAGTGGGGACAGCCAGAGGCCGGGGGGTGGGGAGCGGTGGGAGGGGTCTCGGGGTGCAGACGAGATCCTGATTCCAGGGGTGGTTTTGTGGGTTTCCACACACCTCAAATTGCCAAGGAAATAAAGAACAGAGAAACCCCCCAGAGGGAGCCATGTCAAAGGACACGGGGTCAAATGACCCAACTCCCAACAGCCAGAGTGAGGAAGATCCCAGCACCAGAGTCAGCGGTGAAGCATTAGTTTTATACTGCAAAGTATAGAACAGACGTCCCCAGGCCACGCCGAGGTCCACCGATAGTTGAGAAAGGAAATAAAAGAGGGACAGATCTCTCATGCAGAAAACCTGCGAGTGACTCGTAGATAGCAAAACCCCAGGAGGAGGGGTCCCAGGGCCTGCTCTGGCCATGGGCTGCCCCAGGTGACGGTCCTGCAGGAGCCAGCGTGAGAGAGGGATGGGAAGTGACTTCGGGAGGAGAGCCTGGGCACAGACTCAATCAGGTGGCCAGGGTCACATCAGCAAGGAAAGGCTGTGTGGACGGTGACCCCCATGCACCGTGGTGACCAGGCCATGTCCTCACCTCCAGAATCTTCCTGTCACCACCCTGAATCATAAGATAGAGTGGACACAACGCCTGGCCAGGGCTCCTGGCAACCGCGGTGGTCGTGAAGCCCAGGAGCCAGCGCCCAGAGCAGTGCCAGGAGGCACCAGGGTCCTGGGCGGATGCTGACAGAAGTCTGTGAGGAGGCGGAGATGTCTGGATGAGAGAGGGCAGGGCCCACGCCTCCGTGCCAGATGGTGACAGTGACGAGCACCCGCTGGCGTAGGGGTCCAGGGAGGGTGAGAGTGCTGCCCACTGCCCACATCTCCTCGGCAAGTTTAAAGCTGAGAATCAAACATTCATTCCTGGGACTTCAAGCAACTGCATCCTCTGAGAGGCCCAGGTCACCCTGTGTCCAAAGGCCACACCAGTGACCCCGTCTGCCTCATGGTCTCTGCCGAAGAGCCCACATGGACACCACCTGTTTACACCTGCAAAAAGACGCCTACCTGGGTGTCCTTAGCTGGGGCATTTTCCGAGCTCTGTGTGTACGTCCTCTTGGCCTCTGAATGTCTATCAGCAGCCAGGTACGTGGCAGACACCAGGTACCCATGAGTCCCTCCAGCTCTGCTGGCCCAGGCTGCACTCTAAGCTGCTGCTCAGACCTTGGAAGAGGACAGTGACCGCGCAAGGTCCTAAGGGGCTGCAGCACTGAGGGCTGCCTCAGCATGAGTCGTGGTCTCTGGATGGGGGTGTTCCTGCAGCTCAGGGTCTGGGCCACCAAACTCACTTGTCCCCAGACCCAGAGAACTGGGCTGCAGGAGACCAAGACCAAGGTCACTCTGAGGCTCCTCCCAGGTCTGCCCAACCCCAGGGTCCCCTTTCAGGACTCAGCTGGTGGGAATCCTGGCAGCTGCCCCTTTCAGTAGCTGGTGAGAGGGACCAGAGGGTAGGCTGGGGGCAGAAATCTCATGTCCTCGGGCAGCCACCACGGGCAGGGGGGCTGGGAGCAGAGCAAGTGCATCTAAGGAAGAGGAGGTTTGGGGCAGGGACAGTGGCCTTGAACCTGTAGGCAGAGTGGGATGGTGCTGGGCTGGCCAGAGCACAGCACATGCTGTCCCTGCTCGCCTGTCCCAGGGAGCAGGGACCAGGGACGGGCTTGGCCTGCTCCCAGGCGGGGGTGGTGAATGCAGAGGCTGTGCCAGACAGGATCGCAGTGCTGGGCACACAGTGGATCCTCACAGATGCTGGCTGCTGCTCTGCCAGACTTGGGCTGGGAGCTCTGCCCTGGCCTGGTGCCCAGAGTGGGGCTCAGATGGTCTTGGGGGACAGAAGTGCAGGCAGGGCTGGGGTCTGTGGGGAAAGGCGCGGCCTGGGACCTTGCTGGGAGCTGGTGGTCTCTGCAGGCACCACCCTCCCCAGGAGGAGATCCAGGGACCAAGGGAAGGCAGATGGGAGACCCACTCCCTGACCGTTGCTGGCCAAGTCAGAGGATCCGCTACCCTTCCTGCCATGCCCCTTGCGGGGTCCTGCCAAGAAGACCTAAGGGGAAAATCTTATTCCTCTTGTATCTGAGTCACTTGTCCTGGGCGGGGCTGGTCCTGGGCAGGGCTGGCAGGTGAACTGTTACCAGGAGCCTGAGGCTAGTCCTCACCCCACACTGCACCCACCACTGGCCTGCAGTGCTGCCCAGGGCCCACCTCCTCAGCCAAGAATGGAGCCCTTGTGGATGGGTCTCCCTCTGCTGGGGACTGGGCAGACTCAGGGCCAAGGCCCCAAACAGCTTTGGGGGCACCCGCATCCCCAAGCCCCAAACTTGCCCTTCTACAAGATCTGCCTACGTCCCAGCCTTGGGGGGCACCAGGACAGCGGCAGAGGAGAGCTGGCACCTAGCCAGCTCCAGCCACCCTGAGCACTCCCCCATCCTGGGAGCCCACCAGCAGGGGACAACTCCTCTGTCCACATGGGGAAGCTGCAGCCCAGGTCCAGCACCACTGGTGCAGCCTCATGCCAAAGTCTGCTGCCTGGGCAGGGGTCTTGCCGGGGCTGCTCAGGGAGGTTGGAACTGTGCGCCTGCCCCTGCCTGTCACAAGCTCTATAGTTACAGGGGGAGTGGCTGGTCCTTGGCCTGGCCAGCAACACCTTTAGGAGCAAGGATGGAGCCTAGTTCCTGGTGTAGATGGCGACCTTCGGACTCAGGGGCTACCAGCTGCCCATCACTCCTGTCTCACTCAGGTGGGACCAAGTCCTGCCAGGTGATGAGGCGACTGGGCTGGCAGGGGACAGAGGGTGACTTCCAGGGGGTGGAGGCAGTGCCTACCGGGAGTAAGCTCTATCACCAGGGACCAGCCAAGCCGGGGCCCAGGGGCTAGGGCTAGAGGAGGGCCCAGGGCCAACCCCAGGAAGGTGAGGAGGCCTGGGCTGGTGGCAGACGGGCAGCCAGTGGCACAGGGACTTCAGTGCTGAGGGATGCTGCAGAATGGGGACGTAGGGTTCTGAGTTTGGGGAACGAAAATTTCACACGAGGCAAGTGTTTCACTGGGGTTCTAGGGAGAGGGCAGGTGAGGGGCCAGCTCCCAGGAAGAAGCAGCCTTGGGGGACCCGAGGCTTAGGGGTGGCACATTTTGGGCATAGGTGCATCCTCCCCTCCAGATCCTGGCCTAGCCAGTGAGGCCCAGGCCTCCAGACCCTCCCTGACTGCACTGTCCCCTCTAAGGCTGGACCTAATGTCCCCTCACACAGTGTGCCCTGCCTAGGCTCAGGCCACAGGGCAGATCTGCACCCCCTACTTCCAGATCCTTCTCTGTCCTCCCCAGTGCCCCCCCCAGGCTCTGCCCCTGTGGGGTCCTGGCCTCCACTAGAAGCAAACAGGCTGTCCCCACGGCCCCTCCCTCCCTCCTCCTGGCCTCAGGGCCGCTGCGCAGGGGACTCCAGCAATCCCAGGTGCTGCGCAGGGTGGGCTGGTGTCCCACTGGGGCTGTGTCCTGTGAGTCCCGGTGTCTCCGCCCTGGGGTGGCATGAGCCGCTGTAGCTGTTGGGACACAGGCGGGACATGGGGCACACCTACACCGCAGCAGGTCCCGGCCCGAGAATCTGCTCTGGGGCCTCTTCCTTGTTGGGCCTTCAGGGCTTTGGCCACCAGAGAGCTACAGGCAGGGCACCCTGGCTCTCGGGGGCACTGGGTTTGAGGGTAGGTGACGGCCACTCCCTGGATCGACCAACTGAGCCAGGGTGGGGAGCCAGGGTGGGGAGCCAGGGTAAGCACCACCCCGGGCTTCTGGGCTGTCAGCTGCCTCCAGGCCCCTGGTGCTCCCCACCTGCTGCACAGCACCCAGAGGAGCTCCTAGGGCAGAGCAGGCGGCCACAGGCCACTGCCCGGGAAGTCTGGGAAGCAGAGGACCCTGAATCCTCGTCCCACCCCAAAACCCCATCACAACCAGAGGCTGGGTCTCTTCCTCCACAGGAACCCACCCCACAAACAGTGGACCAGGACCCCTGTCCCCAAGGGTCAGCCAGGCTGGAACTCCCTCGGAGGCTGGGGAGGTGAGTTCTCCCTCCCTGACCCTGGTCTCGTGCCCCGGGGTATTCCAGGGACTGGCTGGTGTGTGCCTAGGGGGGTGAGCAGCGCCCCTCCCCACTGGCAAGGTTGAGACCTCTACCTGCTCCCCAGAGTTGGGTTCCAAAAATTATAAGACTTAAGTGTGGAGACACAAGCACCCTGGCTGTCCCCACGGAAACAAGGCCCCAGGAAGGAGGTCAGGACCACATGGCTTGGCGGGGTCCCTGGGCAGCAGGACAGCCACAGGCCAGCTGGGTGCAGGGCCTCCCCCAGGGAAGAAGGCTCTTTCCAAGGCTCCCCAGTGGCTGGGAGAAAGGGGTCCTCCCCAGGGCTCACTGCCCCCTTCCTAGCACAGGGCAGAAGAAGGAGCTGGATTTTGACCCGAGGGAGAAATTTATCAACTCTGCCAGGACCCTGGGCATCTGGCAGGGTCACGTTGTCTTCCTGCCCACGGCCTGTACTGGGAGGTTTGTGTGGACCAAGGAGGGGCCCCGGGCTACAGGGTGCAGGAATGTGGTCCCAAGAACCCTAAGGGCAAAGCATGCGGGTCCAGATGCTGGACCTCAGATGCACCCAGCCCTCGCCCCCCCACAAGCCAGAGAAAGGGGCTGCAGGAGATCCTCAGGGCGGGGCTGGGTGCTGGGCTCAGGAAGAGAATCTAGGGCAGCACTGGGATTGCTAGAGTCCCCCGCACAGTGGCCCTGAGGCCAGGAGGAAGGCGGGAGGGGCCGTGGGGACAGCCTGTTTGCTTCTAGTGGAGGCCAGGCCCCAGCAGGGACAGAGCTTGTCAGGGGAGTGGGGGCCCAGTGGGGAGGATAGAGAAGGATCTGGAAGTAGGGGATGCAAATCTGCCCTGTGGCCTGAGCCTGGGCAGTGGACACTGTGTGAGGGGACATTAGGTCCAGCCTTAGAGGGGACAGTGCAGTCAGGGAGGGTCTGGGGGCCTGGCCTTCCACTGGCTGTTCCAGGATCTGGAGGAGAGGATGCACTTGTGCCCAAAATGTGCCACCCCCAAACCTCACGTCCCCATCCTAGGACACCTTCATTTGCAGCTACTGAGCCAGCCCTGGGGGTGCAAGGGGCTCTGGAGGTCAGGAGTCGTGCAAGTGTGCCCTCAGGTCGGGGTTCTCTGACCATTCTGTCCTCACAGGTGATTGTGACCAGAGGCCTGTGTGAGCCGTTGAGTGTGACGCCTGTGGCTTCTGGGGCTTGGGGGGGTTCTGGGGCCCTGTGCTGGGATCCACTGAGGTGGGGAAGCAACTGCGATCTTACCCTGGGCCTCTGTCCCCTGGCTCCTCGTGGTCCTCCTGCCCTGTTCCCGGTCAGCTCACCCCACTCCTCCTGGCCTCTGGCTGCCCTGGACTCTGCTCCAGCCTCCCCTACTCCTGTTGAGGGGTGAATGTCCCCTCAGGGCCATTCTGTCCCTTGCAGATTGGGCCCTCACCGCCATCTCAGCCTGGCTCGGGCCCCTTGCAAGGCAGCTCAGCCCTGTCTGCCATTCTCCCATCAGAAATAAACCCACTGGTGACAGGGGAGTGGGTCTGACGTCCTTGGCCACCATCAGTGTGGGACAGGGCTCTGGGCCATGCCACTGGGGCACTCCCAGCCTGGAGGAGCCACGGTATCTCACTTGAGATACAGGACATCCCCTCAGATACGTCCTCATTTATCCCTCCAGTGTCCACCTTCCCATCTGGACAGGGCATGCTCCTGGACTGGTCTCAACTCCAGGGCCAACAGAGCCTGACCTGTCCTCCAACATGGGCCACCTTCCATGACATTTGGCAGGAACTGGTCCCAGCTTGGGAGCAGGGAGTGTACAGTGACCAGGGGGGCCCCCGGGGTGCTCGAGATGGTGGCCAGAGGGGCTCATGACCAAGGCACCTTCCCCAACCCCTCAGGGCCTGAGCTCAGCTGCCCTCTGCCAGGGACCCCTCCACGACCCTGCACAGAGCTGCGTGCACACTTCCCTGGAGTCACTTTTCCCCAGAGTGTTTGAAAAGGCGTCAGGTCCAGCCTTAAAGGGACAATGCAGTGAGGGAGGGTCCTGAGGCCTGGACCTCACTGACTAGGCTAGGATCTGGAGTGGAGGACACCACTGGGCTGTCCTCTACTCCAGACGAAAGGCAGGAGTCTCTGACTTAGGGACAGGCTTGGGCCAAGACCCAGGACACTCAGCTGCCCCAGTGCCCCTGGCCATAGCCAGGAGACACTGGAGACTCCTGCCAGCCCAAATCACAGCAGGGACACACACACACACACACACACACACACACACAGTCCTGGAGGAGCAAGCCCCTCCCCTAAAACCAGGCTTTCAGCATCATGAGGAGAAGGGTGCCCAGCCAGAAGCCCCTGCCCAACCCTTCAGCAGGCAATGGAGTCACTGGGGCTTGGCCACCATGGCTGGGCCGACAGCTTCTGGAAGCACCAAAGGTTTGCCCTGAGCTGAGGTCCCAGTGGTGGTCAGCGGAGGAGAGCAGGAGTGGGCAGGACTGTGCTGGCCTGGCTGTCCCTCCCCACAGCCCTGCCACACCCCTTTCTTAAGGCAGAATTGGGCAGGACCTCTGCCCTCCAGAGGGGACCAGCCACCCCCCAGCTCCCTGGCCCCAGGACAGGTGGAGGCCATCCTCAACCTCCCCCTCCACAGGACCTGGCCAGCAATGCACAGATACGCAAATTCCAGGGTGGATCTTACCCCAACTCCTGCCCTGCTCGACTCCTGGAGGGTGCATTCTCCTGGGCTGTGTGAGGAAGGGCACAGGCAGTTGGAGGGCAGGTGGAGGGTGGCCATGTCCAGCGTCAGCAGAGGCTAACCTGATAGATGAGGCATGACAGAGGCCAGCCTGGGAGAGAAGGGCCTGGGGTGCCACCAGCACAGCCCCCTTAAGTCAGAGTGTCCCCTTGACGCAGATGGCCCTGGAGGCCCTGAGCTGCACTGCCCTCTCCACACTCAGCCCATCCCTCTCACGCTGCTGACCAGCACAACATTCCGCCTGGCTTTCAGAGCCCAGAATACTTATCCAGCTTCTTCTTGGTGGACCAGGGCACTGCCCCTCCTTCCAGTGCTCCAGAGGAGCATCTCCTGGCAGGGCTGAAAGGCAGGCTAGCTGGGCCTGACACACAGGGTCCAGGGGCTGCCCCTGACCACCTGTGTCCCCCAAAGCTCCTTCCCACAACAACTACCCATAGCCAGAGGGGGGACACTAACTGCCAGGCACAGGTGGGTGGGGCCAAGGAGGCCTTAGAGAGTAGGTCAAGGCCAGTGGACAGTCAGACACAGGGAAGGTATTGGAGCAGCCTGGGCCCTTGAGAGCGAACCCCTTGAGGCAGAGGCCTGGACCTATCGCTGCCTGCCTCAGACACTGTCGCACCCCAAGGAAGAAACCACTCCCCTTCAGGACTAGACTGGGACTGGTTCTGGAGCCCAGGCCTGGGCCAGAGGCAGGGGGATGGCCTCAGTAATATCTCAAGGACACATTTCCTGTGACCCAAAGAAACTAGTGTCCAGGATTGGGGCTGGGGCTCAATGGTAGAGCACTGGCCTAGCATGCGTGAGGCCCTGGGTTCGATCCTCAACACCATGTAAAAATACATAAACAAAATAAAGGTACTATGTCCAACTAAGAAATAAATATTAAAATAAAAAAGAAAAGAAACTGGTGTGCAGAGCGGCCAGGCAGATGTGCCCGCTCCCAGTCCCTGGTGGTGCACAGTCCTGCTTGGCAGCTGGACAGCCACATGTGCACATCATATGTCTGCTCGGGTCTCCTGCTGTGCTCGGGGGGCCTGGACCCGGCTGTGTCCAGCACAGCCTGGAAGCTGTATGGGCCTGGAGAAGGGGAGGAGCTGGGCAACCAGAGGTGGGGGGCAGGTCGGGACTTGGAGGAGTGCCACGGACAACCTCCCTCTGGTCACCGGGTAGAATGGGACCTGGCTCTTGGGGGAGGGAGGGCAGCAGGGCAGGATGAGGAGATAGCTCTAGGACACCAGGGGACAGGGGCATCAGGTGAGAGACAGGTGCAGCCCAGGAGCCAGGGGAGCGTGGGCCCCTGAGGTAAGTCACCAGGAGAGGGGTCAGAGAGGAGGCAGCAAGAAAGGCGGAGGTCCAATGCCAGGAGAGGGCAGGGTGGGCTCTGGAGAGTGGCCCCCTGGGGCAGGGCTGCCTGCTGTTTGGGGATGGGCTGAGCTGTTAACGCCAGAACCCTGACCCCTGCCTGGTCCTGGGCCTTGCATAAGAGTCCTGTCCCCTCTTACTCTCTGTCCCTTCCCACAGGGGGTAGCTCTGTGTCTCAAGTTTGCAGTGCAGCCAGTCTGGCCTGGGCAGCCCCTTGAGTGGGTGCTGAGTGAGTGAGGGCTCTCTGGCCTGGAGCAGGGCAGAATCTCTCCTGAAGGGACACAGAGCCGTGTGGGGCAGAGCCATGCCTGTGCTGGCCCAGGTGGGGGAGAAAGAGGCAGCCCTCCTCCCACCAGGCAGGGCCACTCTTGGGGTGGAGCTATCATCAAGGACCTGGAGTCAGGGCCCCAAGTCCTGCCTGTCCTTTCAGAGTCTCTCCCTGTTGGCCCAGGGCATGGATGGACTGCTCTGGTCAGGGCTGGGCAAGAAGCAGGGTCTCGGGCTCACTCTGGGGTGCCTCTTGACTCTGGCCCCACCCTCCGACCTTGGCCTCTGCCCTGTCACCCCCAACAGTCCCAATATCACTGAGAAAGCAAGAAACCCTTGTGGCACTGCTCACCCAGCTATTGATGCTGAATAAACCTATGCCCCAGGGACCCAGACAGTAGGAGGAAGGGCAGGACACATAGGCCTCATTCCTAGGGCCTGCAGGTCCCCAGACAGGGAAGAGGCCACAAAGCCAGAAAGCAGTGGCAGGCTGCAACCCCCCCCCACTGAAGTCAGATGGCCCTCTCAGCCTGTGGCCCCACCCCTTTCTGCCTACTCCTGTGTTCTTTCCCCAAGGGCACTTAAGGGGACCATCATCAAAGCCCCACATCTGGTCACGGGGTTGCTGTGCTTAGGACACCTGCCTTGAGTGCCCTGCCTCTTAGATTGAGTTTCTTTGCCTTGGCCGGAGCTTCTGGTTACCACCTGGCCTGCTCGCCTCTCTGAACCAAATTCTCAATGTACAACTGAGGCTTTAGGGTTCCCTAAGTCTCAAGCCTCTCATTCAAGGAGAGTGAATGACGGGTAGATTTTGTGAGAGGAAGGTCTTGGCCCCAGGTGGGCAGTGACCAGAGGCCCCAGAGGTAGGGCAGTGCCTCCCTGCCCATCCAGCTGCTGGGGTGGGTGGGCTTGCCAGCAAGAATGGAATAGACAAGATTTTGGCCAGCTATGTCCCTAGCACAGCAGGGCCCTGGCTGGTCTCTGTGGGAGCCTCTTGCATAAGCAGCCCTGTGGGGGACAAGGCTGCAGCTGGGCTCAGCCACCCCACCCCTCAGAATCACGAGCTTTCTTGTGGGCTGTCCTTGGGCCCTGGGTGGAGGCCAAGCCTGGCCAATAAATAGGGGTCTCCTCAGTGTCCTCTGCTCCTCCTGCCCACCTACCCTCTTCTGCCCACACTGCTGGTACCCAACTGGGACACCTGCTCTGCTCCACGAGAATGGCGACTTTGCGCATGTTGTGGATGGAGCTGGTTCTGCTGGGGATCCTGGGGGTCCTGCAGACCCAGGCCCAGGTCTCTGTGCAGCCCGACTTCCAACAGGACAAGGTGAGCGTCCCCTGACCAAAGACAGTACAGGCCCTAGGAGAATGGGCTCTTTCAGGGCTGTTTCTCCCTGGTGAAGGGGCGCTAAGTCCTGCAGTGCCCGGCAGAACCAGACAGAGCCTGGGCCAAGCGGGGAAGGAGGGCTGCGCGGCTGCCCCAGGAGGCTGACCGTGGAGGCTGGCGGTGAGAGCGGCATTTCACCGGTTCCACTGACTGAACACGCAGACACGAGGGCCGCGTAGCGCCCACGCCCACGCCGTTCAAACACCATCCCCAGCGCACACACAGGCTTACGTCCCACGCTGGGTCCCAGGACGGGTCTCTGCGCACTGCGCAGACGGCGATGGCACACCGAACTGGCAGAGAACCTCGCAGTGCGGGCGGGGACGCGCTCGGGCCACAACCAGCCACCAGGACTCAAGCGCCGGAGCTGGCGGGGGCGCGCGGACCGAGTCCCTGCCCCTGAGCGCGCCGCCGCGCGCCACTCCCCAGCGTCTCGCGGACGCCTTGCGTTTAGCCGAGGGGAACCCCGCCCTGACCCCTCCAGGAATGGGGCGCGCTCTGCCAGGCAGATGGCGCCTCTCCAGATCACTGGGATGCTGATCGGGCCGGCCAGGGACGTCCCCGGGAGAGGGCAGACACCCGGTGGGCCCGGGGCGGAGAATGGGCGGGGCAAGCCTGAGGGGTGGGCCCCCTGGAGGGGCGTGGTCATCACGGCATGGGGGGCGGGGCCGGGCTGGAGGCCGGAGGTGGGGGTCCCGGTGCCCGCCGCTTGCGCCCCGCCGACCCTGTCGCTCTCATTCGCCACAGTTCCTGGGGCGCTGGTTCAGCGCGGGCCTCGCCTCCAATTCGAGCTGGTTCCGGGAGAAGAAATCAATGCTGTCCATGTGCAAGTCGGTGGTGACCCCCACCGCGGACGGCGGACTCAACCTCACCTCCACCTTCCTCAGGTGGGACGGTGGGTTCTGGGACCTAGAGAATCCCACCCTATTGTCGCGGTCTGGGGACATCCTCAGGCCTGACCCCTGACCTCGGAAGTAACCTGCCCACAGGAAAAACCAGTGTGAAACCCGAACCATGCTGCTGCAGCCCACAGGGAACCCTGGCTCCTACAGCTACCTGAGTCCACGTGAGTGGGCTCCACCCCGCCCCTCATCCCCTCCAAGGCATTTGCTGGGGTGATGGCCACTCCACCAGGGTCAGCTCCATCAAGGTCTGGGCATGATCCTGCCAGGTGTGGGGGGGACTGAGAGACCCTCCCTCAAGGGACTGGAACCTCTCCCAAGCCCACTCATGCTGTGCCAGGCCCCTCCCTGCTGGATGGAATTTTCCCAGGTCTCCTCTGCCCAGCTAGGGCACCCCCAGGCACTCCAGTTCCACCTCCCCTTCCCTGCTGGACCACAAGCTCATGGTTTTCTGATCTTGTGTGTTTCTTACCCTGAGGACTTTGGTTTGGGAACACAGTTCCTGGGCAGATGGGAAGCCCCGAGCTGGAGGGGCTGAACTGGGGAGGGACTGGGGAGCAGCTAGCCAGAGGGGAGCATCCCCTACAGGCCCAGGACCTGAGACCCTCCCACGCACACCCATAACCCCTCCCATAGAAGACACCCTTTCCCCACGCAGTGGCAGGTGCCCCCAACCAGGCTTCTCTCTTGGGTTCCCAGACTGGGGCAGCACTCACGCGGTCTCAGTGGTGGAGACCAACTACAAGGAGTACGCACTGCTGTTCAGCCAGGGCACCAAGGGCCCTGGCCAGGACTTCCACATGGCCACGCTCTACAGTAGGTTCCCCACCCCACAGGCTCCCATGAAGGGACCCCTAGGCTGGCCTGCCATGGGGTCAGCAGAGAACTGACACCTGATCCTAGAGGGGATCCCAGGGAGGGGTCCCCAAGACTCAGGGTAGGGCAGGCCAGAGAGCTTCCTCACCAAGGCTGGCTCTTCTCTACCCACCCAGGCCGCACTCAGACCCCAAGGGCTGAGCTGAAGGAGAAGTTTGCTGACTTTTGCAAGGCCCATGGTTTCACAGAGAACGACATTGTCTTCCTTCCCCAGAATGGTGAGGGGGGATAATCGGCTGGGCAGTGGATTACAGTCAGATTAGGGTAGGCGAGGCCCTGAGTGGCATAGGATGGGACAGGATGGCCCTGCCCTTCCACCCTCTGACCTGCTCTTTCTACACCCCATGACCTCTACCTGCAGGCCCCTTTACTAGGAACCCCCTCCCAAAGGACACCAGGCACCCTGCCTGCCAGCCACAAGGACGCAGAGGCCCCCAGTTCCTCATGGTGGTGCCATGAGTGTTGGGGGTGGGATGAAGTCTGCAGTTTTGGGGTCTCGATCAATACCCAGCTCTCCAGGGCCTTTAGGGCAGGTTCCTCACCATGAGGAGAGGGGCAGGAAGCCCAGGAAGGAGAACGGCCCAGGCCTGTGGCACTGACCATGGCCCCCTGGGCTTCTTTCTTGACAGATAAATGCCTGAAGGAGCAAGAATAGGTGAGTGAGTTGGTGCGGGGCCCTTTCCCCTGGGACTGCCACTCAGGTACCACTCACACATTTAGCACACACCCGCCACCTCAGGGGTCGTGGGGTGGGGGCAGGAGCTCCCAGAGCAGACCAGACCTCAGTTACAACCACCAGAAGGAAGACCTGCCCCCCACAGACTAGGGCTGATTCCCAGGGGCCCAGGAGGGTAGGTCCCAGGTAGAAAGGGAGAGGGGCCCCACCTTCAGGGACCATCTCACAGCAGGGATCTCTGGCTCCTGGGGGTAGGAAGGCCTGGAGGCAGGGCAGGAGGTCCACTGGGAACCCAGACCAGAGTGGAGGGGCTAGAAGGTGGAGTGGAGGGAATGAGGGCTGGATAGGGGAGGTCGAGGACTCTGCTGGTGCATTTGCTGAGACAGGGGACCAGGCTCTGGAGGAACCCTAGGTAGGAGGCCCACACTAGAAGTTCACTCTGGGCCAGTGGGACGGGTAGATGTTTCCTGCACTACCAGTGGCTCCTGTCCTCCCAGCCAGGTGACCCAGCCTCAAGACTCCCTTGCTCCGCTTCTTCTTTCAAGACCGTGGCCCTGGCTCCCCAAAGCACCTCTGCACCCTTGGGCTTTATCCCAGACCTGAGAAATAAACTCTGGAAGCAAATGAGAGCCTGAGTCTTGCCTGTCTGTCCTCTGACACTTTGTTCACCAGTCCCTCCTTCAAAACATCAGTACGAGGGGCTGGGGATGTGGCTCAAGCGGTAGCGCGCTCGCCTGGCATGCGTGCGGCCCGGGTTTGATCCTCAGCACCACATACAAAGAAAGATGTTGTATCTGCCGAAAACTAAAAAAAAATAAATATTAAAAAATTCTCTAAAAAAAAAACATCAGTACGAAGTCCCAAAGCTGGTGTTTGCTCCTGAGTCAGGACAGCTAAGAAGGAGTGCTCCGAGCCGCACCCTACCCTGCACATGGCTGTGACCTCACCACAGCCCCACTTCCTCCATCTGTACCCCTTTGAGCTGCCAATTTATGAGCTGGTGGGGGTCAGTCATTCAGTAGCTAATCCCTTAGACAGGTGTCCACCCCCACCCCGCCCAATCACCCCTAAACAGGAAAAGCCAGGGAGCTTTGGATCAGATGGGTTTTTCAAGGTTTGGGATTAGTGCACTCAGATTAAGCAAGGTTTGGGAAGGCACAGAAAGGAACATTTGTTTGGAAGGTGCTAGAGAATCTATGGCCCTTGCTGGGAAAGGCTGACAGAGTGAGCTGGGGATAGGCCACCCCACACCTCTGCTCACAGTTCCACCACCCCTGGCCTGGGCTTCCAGAGCATGCAGCCCCACCCCTCACCAGAGTCCTGGCACCAAAGCCACACTGTGGGACCAGCCCCCTGCCTACCCCTCCCTCTCCCTCAGGTACCCACCAGGCTGGTCCTTCCCAGGATCCTGTCCCTGGCCCTCCTGGTTTACAATGCCAGCTCCCTGGTAGGCTCAGTCATGAAGTGGGTCTCTGGGTGGCCTTCCTGGAGAGGAGGGGACCTGGGCTGTGCCTGAGCAGAAGGCTAGGGCCAACATTGGAGGGCTAGAAGGCAGAGAAGCAGGGCACGTGTCTGTCAGGCAGCCCCTTGGCCCAGTGGCTGCCAGGACTAACTGTCCCCAGCTGCCACACACCCAGCCCTTCCCACAGGAAACATGGGGCTGGGAGGGCGGGGTTGAGTGGAAGCAGCTGGGCTAGGTGCTACAGGGTGCAACTGGATAGGGAGCTTATCGCAGTGGGCTTCCTCAGAGGCCAGCCAGCCAGCTGCCCCAGGGCATCTGGGGGGCATAAAAGTCCCTCTGGCAGAAGCTGCTCCACCTCTCCTGTCCTGCTGTAGCCCCAGAGGATCTGACACGATGCTGCAGACTCTGCTGATCAGCTCCCTCCTTGTCCTGCTCAGAATGTCCCTAGGTTGGGCCCAGGTCCCCATCCAGGACAACTTCGATGCTGTTAAGGTGTGCCCACAAGCCTCCTCTTCCCATCAGACCAGAAAGTGGGGTGGATGGGGAGGACAGCAGACCTCTGGCTCAGCGTTTGGATTGTGCTCACCGCCACTGCCCAGGACCTTGTCCCCCCGTACTGGGGTTGACCTATGTGCAGAAGTCATGAGCACTGAGTAGCAGGGAGGGACATGGTAGGCTAGGACTCAGAGATCAGGGGCCACTTCCCAGCCCTCCTGCTCTGCCCTGCAGTTCCAGGGCATCTGGTACATAGTCGGGGCTGTGTCAGATGACCAGAGCTTCCAGGATTCCAAGGATGACATGAAGATGCCCATGGTTTTAGTGACCCTCTTGGCCAATGGCGACCTGGATGTCAAGTTTGGGTACCCCACGTAAGTGACCCCACCGGCCTCACCTGCAATTCAGGTGATTTACCTGAGACAAAGGCCATTGTAAGGCCATGTGAAGGCCAGCAGGAACCAGAGGCATCCCTGATACTCCAGGGGGCTCGACCACAGGTTCCTGATGGCCTGACCTGCCAAGACCCAAATAGGAGCCCCAGCACACCTGCTCCCTAGAGGGAGTCAGGCACCTGCAAACCCTCCCGAGGCCTGGGTGTTGAGACTAGAGTGACTGCTTGTCTGTGTGCCTGTGTGTCCTGTGTGTGTGTGCCGACCCACAGGGGAGACCTGAAGGCCCTGAGCCCCACACTGCTGCTCCACCCCAGAGGACTGTCCTCCCCTGTAAGACATAAAGCACCTGTGTCCTGAAAGGGCTGTTGTGAGGGTGAACAGGGGACCCTGCTAGGCTCTGCCAGGGCAGCGTCCTCAGGACACCTGCAGGTCTGGGACCGTCAGAGAGGGCAAGGCAGGACGTGGGCCTGGGCACCGGCAGGGCTGAGGCTCAGGGATGGACAGCTCCTCCCCAGGCCGGACGGTGGGTGCCAGAAGATAGACACGACCTTCAGCAAGGGTGCAGTGGATGGGCAGTTCAGCAACCCAGGTGAGGTGGCCCCCACAGGTGGGCAGCAGGCACGGAGGGTGTGTGCCTGGGGGCCTGTGCATTCTGTTTGATTGGCATGCGGAGGCGGGGCTTCCGGGGGCGGGGCTTCCCCCCAGAGCCAAGTGTTGCTCCCAGTCACTAGCTCTCCCCTGCCCTCAGCTATGGCCCAGACTGACATCCGCGTGCCTTTCACGGACTACAAGAACTTCGCCGTGGTGTACTTCGAGACGCAGAAGGGGGACGTGCGGAACGTCTGGCTGCAGCTCTACGGTGGGCAGCCGACACCTTCCCTGGTCACAGGCCTCGCCCTTGGAGCGGTGCCCCGCATCTGGTCTGCAGAGTTGCCCACGTGCACGTTCCACCACACTCCCACTTGCGGCGGGCGGAACCCCTGTTTCCCAGGGGCTCCTCCGACCCCGGAGACCTGCGGGGAAGGGCTCTGGCCCAGCCCCTTTGCTCACCCGTCTTCCCTGCCCCCAGTCCGCGTCCCGGAGCTGTTTCCTGAAGGTGCCCAGAAGATGCAGCTACTGGCACCCCGTGTGGGCCTGAATCCCAGCCAGGGCGCCATGCTACCCAAGTCGGGTGAGCGCTGGCCCATCCCAGCTTAGGGCTGCAGAAGCCGGGACTGTCAGGGACATGTCCTGTGGGTCTCTCCACCCATCCCTGATGTGGGATGTCCAGGGACAGCTTTGGACCCTCTGGGCCAAGGAAGAGGCGGGAGTGTGCCAGGACATGGTGGACTGGGAGGGCCGGGGCTCTAGGGAAAGGGGCTGGAGGTGGAGGTGGTGACGGAGCCCTCTCTCTCCCCCAGACCAGTGTGCCGCGGTGCTCTCCCAGGTGGGTGCCCAGAACCCTCCAAGCCGCGGAGCTGAGCCGTGCAGCTGAGCCGCCCTGCAAGGCAGGCTTCACTGCAGGGCCCTCCCCCGGGGTAGTCTCCCGAGTCAAGTCCCCCGACTCACACTGACAGCAGTGGATGGGGAGCGTGGGGCCCAGGAGGGCCCAGAGGGCCTAAGACACCAGGCCCACAGCTGCTCCTTCTTTTGCAGTGAAGGATCCAGCCGGAGTGCCCGCAGGGCTCTTGCCCCGTTTCTCTCCACAGCCCCCCAAGCACAATAAATGGTGTGTGAAAGCCAGCTGCGATGTGCATTCACTGTAGGGGAGGCAGAGCATGGGGGGCCCCTCAGGCCGGGGACCCCAGGGCCCTAGACCCTTCAAAGCTGAGCACTGCAGGGGGACCTCTCCACCCACGGGAGCCAGCTCTGCTGGCTGGGGGAGGCGACAGGCAGGGCCAGGCTGAGGTAGAGAGAAGAAATCAAAAGGGAGATACACAGGAGACAAAGAAAGGACAGGGGACATCCAGCTGTGATCTGAGAGCCTGTGCTGAAGGCCCTGGGCCTTTCCTCCTGAGCCAGTCCTCTCTTCCAGGCCACATTCCTGAAGTCCTGCGAGATCTGTAGATCTCAACAGTGCTGTAAAGTCCCTACTTGAGGTCACCCTGAGCACCAGCCCACCCGGGGCAGGGGTTAAGCAGAGGGAGACAGGGTGCTCTAGAGACCTGTGAGAACCAGCAGACCAGCAGGAGGACCCTGTGACTGCTGTGCAGAGGGCGTCCCGCCTGCCTTCCCCACCTACTCCTCCCCAGCCTAATCCCATCTTAAGACTGGGAGCCATCTTGTGGCAAAGTCAGGAAAAGCTCATTTCTCTTCACTGTGAATTCCTGAGATTCCTGCCGTGCTCTGAACTCACCCCTGCCTGGCTCCCCCGACCAGATAACAACCCTCTCTGAAACCTCAGCGGCTCCTCAGGAATTCTGATGTTGGGATCTGAATTTACTCCCCACCTTGAAATATCAGGCCATGCAGAGCATTAATCTGCCATCTGCCCTTGCCTCTCATTTGCCAGAACCCCGTTAGCTGTAGGTTCTCAAGACACCGCCTTTTGTGGCTTTTTGTGCTCTATGAACCTTTCCTTCCTGAGGGGCGCTGATCCCTGGCCCAGGTCAGGGTGCGGAAGTCGCTGGCCAGCTCTCTGTGTGCACAATGCAAGCTTGCTGTAATTCCGTTTAAAATTGGAGTTGGTGGTCTCTGCATCATGGTTCAACACTCCTCACCTTAAAAAGAGGATCCCAGAACCCCAAGGCCTCTCTTGCTCCCCAGATATTCTCCTGGTGGCAGGGGTTGGGGGCCAGAGCCCATGGGACTGATGGCTGGTGTTCTCCCTTGAAGGTGCTTCTGCTTCCTAGGTAGACCCCCGTGTCTCCCACCTGTGCTGAGAGGATCCTGCTCATCCTGAGTCCACCCCTCTTTGGAGACTCCTCGGGTCTCCTCCTGACCAGGCTGAGCTCTGCAAAGGCATTAAGGCTGTCCGGGCTCCCTGCAGGACCCATGCACCCAGACACGAGGTACAGCCCTCGCTCAGCTGCCAGACCCACTACTCACTGGCCAGGCCAGCAGGGTCCTCTCCAACTGAGGCTGAGGCGGTGTGAGCCGTTTCCCTCCCCTCCCCATCCTCCAGCTCACCCCCATCCCCGCTGTTGCCCCTCCCAGAGGTGCCAGTCTTCCACAATCTAGACAGAGGCCCAACACTGTCTTCCATAGGCTTAGGGACATACGTCATGTCCCCGCGGTGGCACAGATGCCCACAAGCTGATCCGAGGGTCAGCTGACAGTTCCATGACTTCCCCCCAGTGAGCCAGGCCAGGAAGGGGAACTGAGGCCCACACACAGGGCAGGTGTGGGCAATGACCACTGTGCAGGACCCTGGGCTCCAGAAGGTGCAGCCAGCGTACTGCAGGAGCCCAGTCTCCACTGGCACCCAACACGAGGCCAGAGTGTGCTCCTTGGCCAGCCTGCCCGCCCCTCTAGGCTCTCCCCTTTCACCTGCGATGAGCTCGCCCTAAGCCATGTCTGTGCCACACTGGATCCTTGTGTCTGGGCCACAACCTTGTCTGAGGACAAGGCACAGACACAGCGCTCCACAGTCGGGGGACGTCCCCCGGGGCGCCTCTGCTAGGATTTCTGCTTTTCACCTGGTGGGCAGATTCCTGTAGGAAAGCGCAGTCAGAGGTGGAGCACTGCCCAGCCAGCCCTGGGCTCCGCAGCCAGCACCGTGGACACACGAGCGTGCTCCCTTCTCGTCAGACGTCTTCTTGACGGGGACCCTCTGGGCCCATCCGTAGACCCCAGACAGCCCCTCTGACACGTCCGTACCTGCTGGCCCCCACCTGGGCCGTGAGGGACTGCCCAGGTGGTGCTTGTGTGTGGAAAAGGCCAGAGCCAGCCACACGTGTGCTGGCTGTGCCCTGGCACGGTGTGCCCTGGCACGGCGCAGTTACCCACCACACTCCAACTATCACCCAGTTACTCAACCTTTCCGCTGTCCCAGCTTTGACCAGCACCAGGAGAAGGGATGGAAGTGCAGGGCACAGTGGGGGCTTAAGGCAGAGAGGCAGGAGGCCAGCTTCCCCACGGACCCCCTCACAGGCTCGTCCCATGGATCTAGCCCCCAATCCCTGCCATCACCTCGGGAGGCCTGGGGGAGGAGGTGCAGGCAGCCTCACCACGCCTCAGGGACACCCTTCCCTTCCTTCTGGGTTGAGGCAGCCCCTGAGGGACACTAGGGGTTCAGAGGTGGTCATCCCCCAACCCTGCAATTCCACCTAACACTTGTCATATCCTGCACCACCTGGCTCTGGCCATGCAGGGCAGCTGTCAGCAAGTTCTTCACCAGAGCACCCAGCAACTCATTTACAGGATCAGTCAGATCTCGTCCTCTCTGCTCAGGACTGCACCCAGTGGGTCTCACCTCACTGAGTAAAGTCAAATTCTTACACTGGCCAGCACAAAGTCTGCCCTGATAGGCCTCCCTCTGGTGCTACCGGCCTTATCCCTTGAATATGCCAGCCTTGAGCCTACCCCAGGGCCTTTGCACAGGCTGCACACTGACTGGGTTTGTCCTCCCTCGCCATCCATTTAGCTCACTCCTTCCCTCTTCTGAAGTCTGGCTCAACATCATTGTTCTCGGACTTTCCTGTGACCTCTGAAACCTCAAGCCCAGCTGTCTCCTGCCTCCCTGATGCCCTTTTGCTGTACTTCTTGATCCTTTTCACTGCCTTGGGCCCTTTGTCTTCCCTGTCCCCCCTCACAGGTTGACTTCAAGCCCAGGTGGTGAGGAGCCTCCCAAGACCCTCCCCTTCTCTGCTCCTGAGGCCCACCTGCCTCATTTCCCACCTAGTAACAGGCACCCGTATCCACTGAAATAAAATTGCTTACCCAGGAAAGGGTCAACTGCCCAGATGGGCTGGCAAGCCATGTTCCCAGACACTCGAAATTACTCCAATGTGGGTTTTATGGTTTTCTTATGTTTTAGAACTAATTTTTATTCCTTGCATTAATCTCCTATGGCTACTGTAACACATTATCACAAACTTGTGGCTTCAAACATGCATTCATAGTTGTGTGTGGTGCACACCTGTAATCTCAGCTACTCGGGAGCTGAGGCAGGAGGGTCACAAGTTCAAGTCCAGCCTGAGTGACCTGGCAAGACCCTGTATCAGAATTAAAAAATAAGAAGGACTGGCCATGTAGCTCTGTGCTGGAGCACCCTGGCTCCATCTCCAGGACTGGAAACAGCCAACGTGCCTTCATTATCTCAGGTTTTGAGGCTAGAGCTACCAAATTGGTCTCCCTGGGCTGAAATCAGCTGTGGTCTGGCTGTGCTCCTGAGGCTCTGGGGGACAGCCCTTCCTCCTCTGCCGCATCACCCTGCAGGAGTGGGTGCAGCGAGCCTTAGGGAAGCTGATGAGGGGTGGCCCCGGGCTCCCATGCAGGTGAAGGCAGGCTGCAGGCTCTGCCATCTGAGGTCTCCCTGGGCCACCTTGTCGTGGTGAGCAGGTTAGGAGGGAGCACAAAGTGACAGCCATTGCTTCTGCCATATTCTAGTGACTAGAAGCAAATCACTAGGTGCAGCTTGAGGGAAGGGGGGGGGTCACATAAGGGTCTGGGCCATCCTAGAGAATGCTACCATGATGAGTAAGCTAGAATGTATTCTATGTAGTCACAAGTAAGGGAAACTGAAAATGGAGCAGGAAAGGGGATAGAGTTGGACAGGTGTTGAAATGTTCTTCTCAGGCTCACTGAGAAGGGTGCATTTGGGGAAAGACCTGAAAAAGGTGAGCACATCCAAGACCAGATGACAGCATGTGCAAAGGCCCTGCAGCAGAGCCTATGAGGGCCTGGAGGGGAGCAAACCAGGAAACCTGGGAGATGAGGCAGGCTTAGCTCAGGGAGATAGGTTGACAGCCTACAAAACCACCAACAGCTCTCCCCAAGGCCACCATGCCTCACTCCAGCCCTTTTGCAAAGTCTTTAGCAGACCTGTCCAGCAGGGCCCTTCCTGGGATCCCCCTTTCTCTTCCCTAGGTCAGAGCTCAAACAGGCAGCTGTTCCCAACCACAGGGCTCTCGTTCTGCTACAGCTTCTGCCTAGAGCTTGGCCCTACCCGAAGGTGTCATGTTGATTGTCTCTCCCACTGGATCTCTCAAGCTCCAGGAGGTCCGAGGCCTTGCCTATCGTCCACAGGGTCCTCAGGGATAGGACAACATGAAGGCTCAGGAGCGCTGGCTCGTAACCCCCGGACTGCCAGGGTTTTACTCCGCATCTGGGCTGGTCCCGGTTAGGAAGCGTCGCTTGGCATCTAAAGCCACGTGAGACACACCTGGGGGACAGGAGGGCTAACTGGCCGCAGGGAGGAGTAAGTGGGTGGGATGTAGAAGCGGCCCTCGCGTGAAGGGGGCTGTGCGCGCCACTGTTGAGGGAACCCTGGACCAGGGGACCATGGGCGGAGCAGGGGAGAGGCCCAAAGAGACCCCTGCTGGAGTTGGGGCCGCAGAGCGCACAGCCAGAGACGCGGAGGTTGGGACCGCACCCTCCAGGCACCAAGCCCCGCCCCGACTCCGCCAGCCTAGCGCCAAGCCCCGCCCAGTCCCGGAGCTGAGTCCCTCCCACCGAGGCTGGAAGCTCCGCCCCTGAAGACTCCGCCCCGCGCAGGCGCCCTAAGCCCCACGTCGGCCGCGTCGGCCTCCCAAGCCGCTCCTCGGCGCAGGCGCCCTGGGCCTGTAGTCTTGACCCCAGCG